CTGTATGTGGATATTATGCTAAAATGCAGACGTTCTTTAAACATTCAGCAGTTGTACTGCTAGTAATGCCCTCAGGGTTCTTACAAATACCTATAAGCAAACTATTTGACAATTGTTATTAATATATTTGTGTCATACCTACTATATGTAAGAACATTTTTATTTTTGCTTTTATACTAACATTTCTGACACTGTGTGAAATATTGCAACATAAAGTACACTATATACTGTATAAAGCCTTTCCTTGTCCAGATATTCTTATAAAAACTGAATGAATAAATGAAAAATAAAAATTTAAATTTACATAATTAATTTTAATATCTATTAAAAAGTGCTCAGTAGTGAAGGGGATACATTTTAAGTTTATTCTGAATTCACTTTTAATTCTTACTTGAGTGAATAACCCTGCAAGTGTTCTAATCCTACCTAAACAAAACAAATGTAAAAAGCTCCAAAAAAGCTTACATAAGAACCGTCTATGGTAAATATTTAACTGATGGTTTCCAGTTATGGCTGTGAGACTCATGAGAAATGATACAGGACCACATGACAATCTATATAAACAAATGGAACAGAGTCTACTAGTTGTGGGTGATGCCATATGGGTTTAAACCAGGGGTTCTCAACGTTAGTCCTCAGGACCCCCTACCAGTCCAGGGTTTAGGGATTACCTGGGTGTGTCTAAGGTGTTTAGAAAAAGAAAAAAAAACACCTTAGAGTCAAAGGTGTTTTTTCCCCCCCTTTTTCTAAACACCTTAGACACACCCAGGTAATCCCCAAATCCTGGACTGGTAGGGGGTCCCTAGGACTGGGTTGAGAACCCCTGGTTTAAACATACTAAGCATTATAATTTTCTCTCTCTTTCCTATATATCTATTTTGTCCTCTTAACACACATTCTTTTTTTTCAAACGACTTTATTGACACCTTGGTCACCAGAACAACTACGGCTTATTGCATTTGTTCTGGTGAGTAGAATTATTACCTTCTGGCTTTTTGCTGTAAACACTGACTTTTCAGAGAAAATTCAGTGTTTCCATTACAGCTTAGTGATAACTTTACTGGCCATTCCTCAGATGGCTTCTAGCAGTGCTTCTGGGGCACAGTGAGCAGCACTGCCATTCAGTGTCTCCACCCTCTGCATGCAGACACTGAACTTTCCTCATAGAAATGCATTGATTTTATTCATCTCTATGAGGAGATGCTAGTTGGCCAGGGCTGTGTTTGACTTGTTCTGGCTCTTCCCCTGATCTGACTCCTTGACAGTCACAGCCAATCCAATAGGGAAGCATTGCCGCTTTTGATGCCGTCAACAGACAGCAGGCAGGTCAGAGGCAGACAGGGGCAGAACCAGCAGCCTCAGACTTAAATACAAGTACGATTTTACTATATTTAGGGAGGCAAGGGGGAACTAGATGGTGGTTTTAACATTATAGGGTCAGGAATACATGTTTGTGCTCCTGACCCATATGGTTTTAACCTATAATATGTTTGTTATGGTTACATACACAAGGTTCACTAAAGTAAGAATTTCAAAGGAGTTCAAAGTGAATTTTAAGTTTAAAACCAAAGTAGCTGAATTAAGATCATAGCCAGGCCTCGTCCTTGCTGCCCTGAGTGGCAGTAGAAAATCCCCAAATGAAACAATGTCAAAATAATTAAAAAATTATTGGAAAGCAATTTAAAGGGTTACTCCAACTATTTTCAATATCTTACTTAATATAAGTTATAACGCCCTATTAGGATTTCCCTCCCCTTTATAAATCAAGGCAATTTAAAAATATTAAAAACATACCTGGGCCAGCACCAGACAATGCTTCCGGTGCGCCTCTCCACTTCCTGTCTGATGTCAAGCCTTCCCTCTCTGTGGTCCAATCAAACGCTTCTCATAGAGAAGAAGCATTTGATTGGACTGATCTCCAGGCTCAGAGCACATGTGGAGGACAAGGCAAGTTGATAGAGGGAGGGTACATGGGGAAAATAAATGAATTAAGCTGATTGCAGGGATGCAGAGATGACTTGGAGAGAGCACACTGAGGGAGACAGACAGGGAAAGCTCATTATCTATGCTGACAACAGACATAAATTATGCACAGAATTGACTTCAGGCAGAAACGCTGCACATGCAGATCCCTTCCTCCATGACCCTTTAAGTTATTTTCAGACTTAAATCATTAAAGCAATATTTGGACCGCAGTCATACAAGCATCACTTACATTAGAATAAAAAACTACATGGCACTGGGGGGCTTAAATTTCCTTTACACATCACAAATAAATAACAATTATTGCATATTGTGTTGCCATTATCATAGTTAAATATATGTTATTTGGACCCATGTTGAAATAAATGTATAAGCTTTTGATTTTCCTATTGCAGAACACAGGGCGTATAACATTAAAGGGTTTTTCACCTCTCCGCATGGGTCGTTTACCAAATGGAGTTTTACTTCGTCCTGCACGGGAAGCAGACAAATTCCAAAAACACTCATCACATCATAAAGAAAATAAAGGACATGAACACGGGAAAAAAGACAATAAGAAAAATAAAGATAAAGGGAAGAAAAAACAGGGTCAGGATAAGGATGATTCATCCAAAGAATCTAGAGAAGACCAAAGAAAGAAAGATCATGCTATAGATAAACCATTCTTCCCTAAAAAGCATGTTCCAGACACAACTACTCAACAAACAGTTCGCTTCTCAACAACACATTCATTGAGTTTAGATGACTCTGAACTGGTTTTACCATCATTAGAGGAGACCACTGATGTACCACTGTTTCCTTTACTACCCGCACTGCCAGACGATCAAGGAAAATTCCCAAATATCCATGAAGACATTTCATTTGATCTGCCATCAGTAGGGGAGACCACTGACTCACCACTGTTTCCATTACTACCCGCACTCCCAGATGATCAAGGAAACTTTCTAAATATCCATGAAGAAATTTCGCTTGATCTGCCAGAACCAGAACCAGAACCTGTAGCAAAATGTCCCGGTAAAGTTTGGGAACCAAAAAGGTTACTTTCTACATTGAAACCAACAGATAAAAAATCCAATTCTGTTCCAGATCCACCACTTGATCTAGATGACTCTTTGTTTTCATTACTAGATTTCTAAAATGTTCATATCAACTGGCTAAAAGTCAAATTAAATTATATTCAAACATACATTTTATAACTGAATACAAAAATATAGAACTAAAACTACTATACTATCACATATATTTGCAACATAGTTATCATTTGCTGCAGAATGTTAAAATATCACACATTATCTCATGAACTGGAAAAAATGTGTACTTTATTTGGATATTGCTCCAATAAAAGGTTCCAAATGATACTTTTGAATTTTTTTTATTTTTTTTTATTTTCTCTTAATTATTTTATTTTATAATTTTATTTGGACTGCAAGTTTAGTTTAAAGTAGCACTCCTTTTACTGTAACAACTTCATCTCAATTAAGTTGTTATAGTGCCTGGAGGCCCTGGACACCGTCTTAACTTAAGAGGATAAATAGTGCTAACAACTCAAAGTTGTTTAGACAACACCTGTCTGCTTGGCCCTTTTGTCTCAGTCCCCAGTTTCAAGATGGAAGCCTCAGACTTGGCACCAGTGATAGGCTGATATTTAACAAAAATTAATTATGGCTTAAATTGTTGGTTTACTACCCTTCTTATTCAATGTATATTGCAACAATTTCTTCTGCTATCTTTGGCCTAAATGTAGTAATGTTGTTGTCTTTGTATCACAACATACTCTTTAGTGAATTAGACTTCTAGTGTGAATGCTTTGCAGAGGGATAGGCAACCTATGGAACAACTGCCACTGATCGCACTCAAAGGTGAAACTCACCACCTGCCATATGGTGTATACATTAATCCTGAAGATCTGAGTAAATACTGAATGGTAAGGCTCTTAATGTACTATACAAGGTTTCCATCAGAAATTATAGTACCTCTCTGACACACTATATGACAGGCACATAGATTCAAAGTCACTGAAAAAAAACACATTCCCAGACAAATGTGCACATAAATATGCTCTCCCAGACATAGACACAAAAATACACACTCATTGATAAACAGCTGCATATACACATTTCCAAACAAAGATAAAGACATTTATTCACAGACACACATAATAACACACATAGCTACAAGGCAAAAGGGGCTACGGTCAATAAAGAATTGATAGGATGATAGGATGAGGGGGATTGCGACTAATATGGTAGAGAACAAAGGAATTATAAAAGGTTAATGAGGTCAGACAGGGTGGTAAGAAAGGGGTAGTTATTTAAAAGGTGGGAGTGGCAGCAGACTGATACAGCAGGTATTAAAAACAAAGATAAGAACCGGACCACACTCAAACATTAAGAAAGACAAACACAAAGTAATACTCTTTACAACAGGTCACCAGAATTGAGAGTCCAACCATCAGCAATTTACTTGGTCCTATTGTCGGAGCAGTACATGCCAAGCCTCCGTGGAGCTGTATATGCCAAGCCTAGTCTCAACAAATTAATCCAGGGGTAGAACTGAAAAAAGGAACATAATTCTTAAATAGTGCCAATATCGTAGATACAAGTCAGAAGACAAATAGTTGTCCAGACCAGGCATTGTAACTACAGCAAGGCCCTCTAGCAGTCAAAGTACTCAGTAAACAAAGCACCCAGTGTGTTATAGAATCTGGTAATAAAATACTTCCTTATCCCCAGCATAATCACATCATTGTTTGCAGTAAATAAGTTGCCTATGGCATCTCACTCTACATGTTTTTGTCCATCTGGATTAGCAATATATAGCCAAGTAACTATTAATTTTGTTAATTTTTATGTCTCACTTAGAAAAAATAGACAAACAGTAAGGAAAAAAAAAATCCACTTATAGTAGTAAGATAGTATTAAAAACATTCCACTCAAATAATGATACAATAATGGAAATAATTATATAAATATAAACATAAATTACTTCTAAATTATATTTTTTATATAATTATATATTCATATTTATTGAATGTGTTCAAAGTTTCAGTGCCTCTGTGTGATTCATAGAACATAGTACAGGTTTTGGCTTTTATGGGGCTATAAAATTTACACTTCATGTAAAGTCCTGGGTCTTTGGTCACCTAACAATTCCTGGGTATTGGACTTGAACCAGTATAGAAGTGTAAGACAGGGGAACAATATTTTATCCCTCCATATCGACATCTTGTTGTCACATCTACAATAGCCAACTTACAAGTGTAGGTCAGAAACAGAAAGGACACATATGTTAAAGGACCTTAGAATGGTCAACTTTAATGTACAACAAGAGAAAAAGTGTAAATGTGATACTAGCCAAGATCATGATACCAGAAATAAAGGAATACAATAGAACTAACCAGGTTAGGATTATAGAGGTCAGAAAAGTCATTAAATAAGCCAAAATTTAATAACCAGAAAATCTGAGAATATATAACAAACGAAACAAAGGAGCAGAGGAAAGCACGACAGGGCAAAGACTATGAAAACTTTATTTAAACAACGAGATGGACTTTGATTGGTCCACGACATAAAGTGTGTGAACAGGGTCACAGTGATGGCGTTGCACTCCTGTAACCAGAAATGGTGCTAGGTATCATATTAGCATAAGTAGAGGGGCACCGCGAGCATGCAGCTTTCCTTTCCCTGTCAGAAGACCCATGAGCATCTGTCTCTTGGTGCATTTGGCGTATTTGGGAAGTCAAAATACAAGTGCGATTGGATAGGTAGAAGAGGATTAGAATTCACTGATTCCCATTCAACTTGAACGGCACTCATGAATGCCAGAGCAACGCATTGAACGGGTAAGTACTGTGAAACTTGTAAAGCAGGACACTGCTGGGCAGGATAGAAGGAGGGCAATTCTCCAGAAGAATAGGCATGTGAGCATGGCATGAATCCATGCCAGGCTGACTGCCAATTATGCATATGGCCCCATGAAGCACAGAACATAAACAAAGGAATAATGTGCGCTCAGATCTGAGCTATCTGGGGATATATTAAATGTACCTGTTTTGTGCAATGGCTGCACAGTTATATATTTTTATGTGTTTTATTGTCTTTTGCTGCCATGTGTTCAATTGAGTTTTGCCTCTGTCCTTGGAGATAATTAGATTACTTCCCAATTATCTCCAGGATAGAAGACTCTGTGGAACTGGTTTTGGGCAGAAAAGCCATGCTTCATTTGGTCACAAAGTACTTCGAGCTATCTTTTGAACCAATGAACCAATTTGGATGATTTTGACATATGTTTGTATTTGGAGTATGCTGCTTCTTAAAATGTAAGAATGTGAATGTGATGCATACTTTTCAAGAATAATGTGGAAAAACTGTATTTCTCTGGTTGTGATAATTACATTACCCATTGTGTAAGGTAATTGTATCACAGGCAGAGGGGAGGATTTTGTGTGGGAGTGTCTGAGTGTATTGTACATGTTTATTGGTTGTTTTCCAAAACCCTGTGGGTAGTACTGCTGTGTAAGAATGTGTACATAAGAACAATAAACCCACAGCTCTGGCTGATTCTGCTTAACCCTCAAAATGAAGTGTCGTCTCGTTATTGGGGGAATTGGATTGTATGCTGACTGCCAGGAGTGTAAACCTTTCATATGGTTTTTCCTGTTCAGCTGTTTCCAGTATTCGTGAGTTTCCTGTTCGGGAGTTGGAGAATCCGTGTAGTTTGCAGTTCGGGAGATTGGTGCTTACAGTAGCTGTCTATGCATCTGAAAGGGGAATATTGCCTAAATGGTTTTTAACCTCTTGTGGTCAAAACGGTCCGTTACAGAGGGTAATCGTAAATCTGAAGAAGATGGAGCTCAAATTATGAGTGGAATCAATGTGAAAACGAAAAAGGAGAGGGAGGCAGAAATGAGGAAACGGTGACCATAATAAAATAAGATGTAGAAACTTTCACAGCTTTTAATTGTTTAATTGGACACTCAGGCTCAAACTATTTATCATAATTTGCATATAGAAATCAATTATGTAATTCTGACTAGAAGAGAAAAGAAAAAAGCTAAATACACAATTGTAGACTATTATATATCCGTCTCTTTTCTACTTTATGCATTAGATTTTTAGTGTAATAATAGTATTTCCTCGTTACCTTATACGCCGTTTATTAAAAATGCTTCCAACATTCACCCATTGTCCTGTCCCTCATTTTCACTTGACTACTGACCACTAACACCTATTTATGTGTTTACCCCTTTTCCTCCTAAAAGAATGCTATCACACCAATTTCTTTCTGCGTAGGGCAACGGCCACAGCTTTATTTAAACCATCAATCTAGCATAATATTAACCACTGTCAGCTGTTGGCTAAGAACCAACAGGCATATCTAACCAATGATTTTTCATGACTCCTCATTAAGTTTCCCTCTGTCCTCAATGGAGAAAAGGCTGTGCCTCTCCAAGCCTGGTGGGCAAAGTCTGTTCACTCCAAGCTGGCAAGGATGTACTGCCACCGCAGCATCTCTCACTCACTCAGCCATGAGCATGCAGCAGACCCAGAACATGCATTTCTAAGTAGTCCAGACCACATTCCTACTGGGCTGAGTACCCCCACATATCCACCATATGTGCCCCATTTGGAGCACGCAATCCCTGACCCAGAAATATAGATATAAAATTTAGCTATAAAAGGCAGACTTTAAGAGAGAACTGAAAAATGTACATTTTATTTTTATATTTTTAAATAATTTTCTTCCTCATTCACTTCCTCCACAGCACCAGCAATACTGACTGGTACAAGCAACCAGATGAATACTCCCAACACCAAAACAAGGATATATTGTTTGGTGTGCAAACATACCAGTAATTCAGACTCATCTAGTATTTACATATTTATTAAATTTTCCTTGCCAAATATCGCTGCTTTGTCAAACCGTATCAGAGAATACTCTTTGAGCTAACGGCTCCCAAAGACTCTTTTCCAGTAATCAGTCAGATTTGTAGTAAACTTAGACATAAATAATAATAAATACATACAAAAATATATAGAATAAAAAGAAAATATAATAAAGATATGATAAAAAAGAGAGCTAGGCAACAATGCGTATTTATACAAAATTGAGAGAATGCTAAAATAAAATTTCCTTTCTCTTGTAAACTGGCATAACTAAGTTTCCCTGGTCATCAAATTTGCATGGACAGAATGTCCTTGAACTCCTGTCCTCACTAGATCAGCACCTGCTATTTAGCTTATCCAACACAAACAAAGGCCAGATTTGATGAAAAAATATTTAGAAAAAAATATTAGCACATATTTTTGAAACATGGATGTCTTAGCTAGCATATTAACATATTATAACATAGTAATTTTGTGGATATGTTGCTTTGCATACAAACAGACACAAAAAATAAATTTACAAAAATTTTTGCCTTATTCGATTATCCTTTATAAAAAAAAAATATTTTGCTTTATACAGGATATAGTGTCCTTAATCTTGCAATATTTCACACAGGGAGGGACCGAAATATTAGTATAAAAGCAAAAATCTTCTCACATAAAACAGGTGTGACAACATTTTTTTTTTAACTCTAACCTTATTTTTAATTCTATTAGATTAATGCCCCATTTACATTATACTAAATGTTACTCCCTACAAAAATGCTCAAAGAGCGTTTTAGAAAAAAGGTTTCCTTACTCTAAGCCATTGCTGGCCTTTTAAACTTGCCACTGCCATATTGGCCCCTGCATGTGTTAGGTATGTTGGCCACTGGGCATCCCTGTTGCCATTGCGCCCCTCCACAACTGCACAGCTCAAAAACTCCAGTTGGTTGAGCAATGTTAACCGAAATGGTGATGGTGGTGGTAGTGGTGGTGGCAGAGCAGGGCCAAATTTACATTTCAGGTGCCTGTAAGCAGAGAAATCTAAAGGACCCCTCTGCCCCCCAAAAAGTAAACTGCAAGAATAGAGCCCATCACTTGCCGGCAGACAGAGCCAGCATAGTCCATAAGTTTTACCATCTCCAATTAGACAAGTAGGACTATCCATGGGCAAAAAATGTGGTTCAGCACTTCTGAAATTCGGGACTTTGGCAATTCGTTTCAGCACTTCTCCCCTCCACCAGTGGGTGAGTCTTTGCTCTCTTCACAGGTTTCCACCATAGCAGGGCTGCTAAATCCATGGAGGAGTCCAAAAAAACTATCCTGGAAAGGTGTGTAACAAAAGAGTGGTTTTCTAGGTGTGGGAGAGCAAGTTGTTCTCCCAACCTGGGAAGCGATAGCATGGAGTATGCTAGCCACAGGGATCAATTCTTCCATAAGAATGTGTCCTAAGGTCAGCAAAAAACGTCAATGGAATCCTTATTGGTAGCATTTGTAGCAAATATAGAACCCTAAAGAGATGTGTCATTTTCACATGTTTAACCTCCCTATTATGATAGGTGAGGGTTTTTTACAGCTGGAGATCTTGTGCAAGTTTGGATAATGGGGTGAAGGAAATTGTTTCTATGAATTTGATCAAGGTTGGTGTTACTTCAACTTGGTATTTCATGCTAGTAGCACACCATCTACACAGGAACTCAGTGTACAATGGTAGAGTAAGTTCCTTCAGGAGGGAGATATTAAGTATCTCTGATTTAGCATTATTGATTTGCAAATTGGAGAGCTGTCTGCATGCGCATAATTCCAATAACAGGAATGTAGTTTCTAGTCTAGAGACCACAAATATAAATTCATCTTCATAGGCTATGACCATAGGATGTTCTGACTTAGATGGAAACACTGGATGTCTGTATTAGATATTATATTATTTAGTAAGGGTTCCAGTGTAAAAGCAAATAGCAAAGGGGACAATGGGCATCCCTGTTGTTTCCCATTGCAAATGGTAAATGGTTCCAAAAGGGCCCATTTATCTAAAGCCACATCACAGGGCTTATTTAGAGGACTCTTATTTCCTTCATAAACTGGGGATCCAACCCCAGTTCTTCTACAGTTAGGAATAGGAAGTACCAGTCCATACTGTCAAACACCTTTTCTGCATTTGTTGACAGGAGGAGGACTAGGACACTGCTGCTGCGCTCTCCATGAATAACATTCAATGCTTGGATCGTGTTATCCCTGGCTTCTCTGCTAGGGATGGATCCCAGTTGAGCCGGATGAATGATGTTCAGTAAGTATGGTGACATGCACATTTGCAAGATCTTAGAAAACAGTATCAAGTTCACATTTAGGACCAAAATTGTGTCTAATTCTTGCCTTCTGTGCATCAGAGTAGACATGTGCAATTTGTTTCGTTCTGAATGTAAATTCCGATGAATTTCGGCAATTCGCACATTCAGATGCTTTCAAATGTCCAAAGTGACGAATTTCTGAAGTGCCGAACCAAATTTCCACAGTGACGAATTTCGGAAGTGCCAAAGTGCTTCGGATTTCTGAAAAGTGGCAAAACAAGAGAGCGAGGGAAAATTATGGGAATGATGACAGGAATCTAACCCTACTCCTACCCCTAACCCCTAACCCTACTGGTAGGGTTAGAAGTTAGGGGTAGGGTTAAAGGAGGTTTAGGAGTAGGGTTAGGGGTACTTCTTATTGACCCATCTGAACCCTATACTCTCTTTATGGACAATCCAGTATTCCCAGAAGGCAACAGAGGAGCACTAAAACTAATCTTTTTCCAGATTTTGTTTTGGTCAGAACTTGTACAATTGGCTCTGTCCTTAAGAGGTTAAATACTACATTACACACACAGTTCCTGCACACTTGCACGGTAACTTGAAAGATACTGCTCAGCTTCTAATTTTCATTCTAGGTGTTGATGACAACTTTGAAATAACTGAAGAACTTGCGATTTGTATTCCATGCCAGGTTAAACTACTAGGAATGAATTTACAAATCAAGTGAACAAGTGTGTAACTGAAAAGTTAGGCATAACGTTTGAAAACTTTGTGTCCATTTGCACTCATGGTCTCCTTAAAATGTTGGTGCAGTAACTCTTGTTGAAGAATTTGCTAGCAAAAAATAACTAAGTACCTTTGCATTGTACATCGGCAAGTGTTATGCAGCAGAGTTTTGAATTTCAACCATGTAATGTCAATAGTAGTTTCAATTGTAGGGGACTAAAACATAGGTCATTTCGAGCATTTCTTGAAAAGGATGGTGCTCTATCACACAGAAGCTCATTGTCTGAGCAGTGGAAAAGCACTTCAGTGTTTTGTTGCTTTCAAGGAAGAGATTGTTCAATCCTTAGAGAATGACTTGAAAAATTTTGCAGAGCTGCACAATGAAGTTTAGAATGATGACCTGTATTTTTTTATGTGACTCTTTCCATATGAAACTGAGGCAATTCAAAAGCAATTCAAAAGCATGCTGTCAAAAAGAGAAATGTGCCACTTTTCCGTTGTGTACAGGGCCGGTGCAAGGATTTTTGCCGCCCTAGGCAAAAGTAAAGTTTGCCGCCCCCCCGTGACATCACAATGCCCCACCCATATGACGTGCCATGTTAACTAACGCTAGTGCTGCAGTGCTGCTGTGTTTACATTAAAAGGCCTGCAGGGACAGGCTATAGACACCAGGACCACTACATTAAGCTGCAGTGGTTCTGGGGACTATAGTGTTTCTTTAATGTGAGGTAAATTAGAGATTAGTGCCACGAATAATATACTAGATTACCTACTTACAAGCAGATGAGGATGATGATAGGCTCTAGCTGCAGTCTGGCTCCACTGGTCTGGTGTATAACAGGATCTCTGGAGGCTGTTTGTAACTGTGGTCACAAAAATCAATGTTCTGGGAGAACGAGAAGCAGCTCCATTTTTTGGGGGCCCTTTACACAGCTCAAAGTCTGGGTCCCAGGTTCCACCTTCATGTTACACCAATGAGTTTGTTCACAGGGGTGGAGTGTGTAGGGGATGTCCTGATTTGTGTGTAAGGAATGCATTGTGTGAATCTGTGTTTGTATGTGTAAGGGCTGCAAGTTGTGTTTCTGTGTATGTAAGGGATGAAGTGTGTGAGTCTGTAAGGGGTGCATTGAGTGTGTTTAAGGGGTGCATTGAGTGTGTGTAAGGAATGCATTGTGTATTTCTGTGTGTGTAAGGGATGCATTGTGTGTAAGGCTTGCATTGCGCGTGTGTGTGTGTGTGTGTAATGCATTGTGTGTTTTTCTGTGTGC